TGGGTGTTCCTCTGATTTGTTGGTATATTTGTCCATCAAACTGAAAATAAGTAGTGAGGCAAAGGTTGCCTTCTATCAGCTATAGACTCCCAAAGTTTTTGTTTGGTTACCCTTTCTGTATTTACCCAGGCCCAGAGTGGGGTGAACATTTCCCCTTCAATCCTCTCCTAGTTTCCCAGAGAGCTGGTGTGGAAGGGAGAAACTAGTTTATAGTGAAGGAGTGGTGGCAGCAAAGATATCTAATTTTTCAGTCGCTGTTTACCCACAGGGGCAGGTTACCTCAGAGCTGAAGTACCTCAGAGGAAGTTCTGGTTGCTGAAGTACCTAAGAGGAAGTTCTGGTTTGACCCTGAGGACACCTTTTCCCTTTTACAGCTTCCCTAACCCAACACGTTATTTTCTTCTTCAGCATCCACTGGAGAACAAAACAACTATTATACCATTGCAATGGAAGCTTTGCTCCTTTTGTATGTGCATTGTAATGTTACAAACATGTACATAAGGGACAGATTTTGCGTTGCAATGCTTATTTTGTTATTTTGACAAAACCATTGAATTTTGTGGATGCCTCTGGACATGTTCTTGCTTCTGCTCAGGATATTTGTCTTCTGCATTCATCCTGAACCCCAAATAAGCCATGACAATAACTGTTGGGAAGAGAGGTGAAGGAAACAAAGTCACATACTTCTTCCTTCACAAACTGTGTGAAGTCAAAATGGTTACAAGGAAAAACATGATTTAAGTGGAGAAAAACATGATTTAAGTGTATCATTAAATTAACAAAAGGTAATGGGGACTGGGCTGGGGAACATTAGGCAGTTAAAGGCCAATATTAGCTTCTTCCAAATAATCCCTGGCCCTATACAGTCAGTCCCTGGTTAAGAATGTCTGACTTAAGGACAATCCCTAGATTTGAATGGGTTGCCTATTACTAAAGATAGCGGATGGCATTGTTCTTCCTTGAGCCGACAAACCACTGAAGCCACGCAATGCTTTCAGGAACTGCTGAAGCTGCACTTTTTTAATATACAGCCTGTTTTCAGTGGTTCCTGAAAGTATTGCATGGCTTCAGTGGTTTGTTGGCTCAAGGAAGGACAACGCCATCCACCATTTTTAGTAATAGGCAGTCCGTTCGTAAGTATGAGTTCCAACTTTCATGCAAATTCGAGTCAAAGACAGAGTTACGAACAGAACTCGCTCTTAACCCGGAAACTGCCTGTACATCTGGCAAACATGTTAGACCTCATCTTTGTATCAGAGCAATTGTGCTGTAATTTGGATATGTAGGACATTAGATCTACCCTTTTATCCTTTATACCTCGGCACCTTAGATCCCTACAAGACCACCTGCTTCAACCAAAACTGACCTGCTTAGTGATCCTACCAGGAGAAAATGCTGGTGGCATCCCATTTTTGTGAAGTGAGGAAGGCTGGGGCTAGTTACAGTACAATACTATGCTGTAGACCAGCTTTCTCTCAGAAGCTAGACTGGCTCTTTCACTAATTGCCTTCTTGAAATTGATTAAGATTACACCTTTTAGAGTCACTTCATGTGAGATGGGCAGCCATACAAATTTGACAAATAAATAAGATGGAGTTCTTCTGCAGGGTATTTAGGAATTGATTAGTTGACACCATGAATATTATTTTGTGTGGGCTTTTTTCCTGTGCTGAATGATTTTTCTGGTCTGATACTGCATTGTAAATTTGAAGTTTCCTTGAGTTTCTATGGTTTTAGTGTTGTAAGCCACCATGAGAGTCAGAAAATTTGGCAGTATACAAATAAAATAAATAAACAGTTCTTTATTGAGGGCACATTGGAATTTATCTACTTTATGTGTAATGGATACACAGAAGATAAAATTGTTGTTGTGAACAAGAAATTTTCCTCACTATTAACACACAGGCTAATCTTTCTACTAATTTAGATAAATTATAAATGTGCAAGTTAAACATTTATTGTTATCTATAGTTACCTATATTTCTCAACATGATTGACTGGAATGGAAGGTAAGTATAATCAGGTAGCAGCTGCATTTTTATAATGAATCCTACAGTATACTTCTTTGGTACAATTTTAAGATTATTTCTATACCCTTCGGAGAGAATTTGTACGCTTGTCAAATTTTACCACGCTCCAGCTGGGAAAGATCCAGCTATATCCCTCCCGCCATTTTTTCCCTCAGAAATTTATTTTTTTCGGGAAAACTGAACGAAAGCTGTATGCTATGGTATGTATCTTTAGCTATCTTAATAAAGGCACGGCCTTAATATGGATTCTTTGGTCAATGCATCTGCCTTCGCTCTTTTATTTGTGCTTAAGTGCTCTCCCACTCGAGGATCACCTCATAAATCTTGCTCGGAAGGAGCCCAGGGAGATGTAGAACGCGGCGCCGGATAACGGCCAAACGAGCTCAATCTTTCAAATAAACCTCGTTATCTTCATTGCGCTATCAACCCCTCCCAAGGGAGGAGGGAGATCCACGATAGAAAGCGCGCGCTTACAAGGGGGATCGCTTATTGGCTGATGCCTTTGGCCATGGGCGTATCGGCGTAACTTTTGTCTCCTTCGGACTTCGGCTCGGTGCGTAACCGCCTGTTTGATGCGCGGCTGCCTAAACCAGAATGTGATAGGCTCTTTCGGACGTCACTTAAGGACTCTCTCCGCCTCGTACTTTTTAAAACGCGCCCCGTCGCTCCGATAGGCAAAGTGATTGGCTTTGGGGTCTATCATTCAGTAGCGTGACGTAAAAGGCAATGGCGGAGGGTTGTTGGCTCAATCGGCACTCTAGGAAAGGAGGTGTGTCTCGCGCTGCCACGGAAGGCGGGCCCTTTGGCGTTTCCTTTGTGTGTGGGCACCAGTGGCCGGTTGCGAGCGCGCCTGAGGAGGAGTAGAAGCCGCCGCCGCCATTTTGTACGTTTCCTTTCCCCACCCCCTTTCCCCGTTCTCTGCCGGTGGAACTGGGCCGACCTGTCCCGCGACGAACATTGCCTCGTAACGCCTGTCGATCTTTGTCCGGCGGCAGCTGCCCCCTACCGGCGGCAGCAGTAGCAGCGAGGAGGCGTGTGACGGCCGCGGCTCCGGCATGGAGAACTCCCAGCTTTGTAAGCTGTTCATTGGCGGCCTGAATGTGCAGACGACGGAAGCTGGGCTCCGAGAATACTTCGAGGCCTACGGGACCCTGACCGACTGCGTGGTTGTGCTCAATCCGCAGACCAAGCGCTCCCGATGCTTCGGCTTCGTCACTTACTCGGCCGTGGAGGAAGCCGATGCCGCCATGGCTGCCTCCCCGCACGCTGTCGACGGCAACGTGGTGGAGCTGAAGCGGGCTGTCTCCCGCGAGGACTCGGCCCGGCCCGGCGCCCACGCGAAAGTGAAGAAACTGTTCGTCGGGGGCCTCAAGGGGGACTTGGGGGAGAACGACCTGGTGGAGCACTTCAGCCAGTTCGGCCCCGTGGAAAAGGCCGAGATCATCTCCAACAAGCAGAGCGGCAAGAAGCGGGGCTTCGGCTTCGTCTACTTCCAGAACCACGACGCCGCTGACAAGGCGGCAGTGGTCAAATTTCACCCCATCCAGGGCCACCGGGTGGAGGTCAAGAAGGCCGTGCCGAGGGAAGACATCCAGGCAGGAGGCGGGGGCTCTTCCAGGTCGAGCTGGGGCGGACGGGGAAGAGGAAGGGGCGGAGGTGG